ATATATATATATATATATATATATATATATATATATATATATATATATATATATATATACATATGTATATAATCTATATCTTTACTCAGTAATTTAGTCTGTTTCATTGCAATATATAGCCGTTCTGAGAGAGCACAAACCAGAAAAATTTAGTCTAAACTCACCTGAAATAAAATATGTATCAATATATAAAGACGTTAGCTTGATTCGTGAATGGTTTTTCGCGTTATGTTTATTTTTTTATTTTTGGCTTTTATAATATCAATTTTGAAAACATTGATTTTTATAGCTACACCATTGTTTAGTACGTCTTATTTAAATAATAATTCAGAGAATCAATTGCTTTTTAATATACATAGTACAAAACTATTTAAATGAGCACCCTATTTTAAAGAAGGGCAGTAAGTCATGGAAGTAGTGTGAATGTTTACCTACCTTTCAAACTATAGCTCTTGTAGATTTTAAAATATTTTTCTACGCAACAATTTCTGCTATAGTAGACCTGTTATTTTTTTTACAAAACCACTTTCAAGATGTATGAAAAACATAATTTTTGAAAAATAAATTCATTGTTTTTTTTGGTCGGAACTTGGCCCCTAAACTTCCTGGCCCCCCCCCCCCCCCCCCGCATTGCGGGGTCTGGCGGTATGGTAGTTCCGCCCCTGGATCTTATCTAGATCTAGAATTCTAATAGATGAAGTGAATTTTATAAGTTTAGGCAGAGAAAATCGTATTGTCTACATTTCATAGCGTACGTAGCTCTAAATCATATTTGAATGAAATAGTTCGTTTCTTTTTATTCTAAACTCGACAGATGACGTCATCAGTTTCGTGCTCTTTTAGTGTAAACAATAAGCGACGTCATTGTTAAATGCGTTCTTGTCCCAAGTATAAACACTTTTCCGGTTGCATAATTAAAACTGTTTTTCTACATTCGAATACGCCTTTATTTTTTAAATTTTTCTTCTTTAAATAAGAAATAAGATGGTGATACATTTAAAACATGTAACATATTATTTTCAACAAAAGTCCGTATCAAGTTCTCCATATATTGCTGCAGATTCTGATGTGATATCAGGCGAAAATATTTTGCGGACAGAGAGAGAGAGAGAGAGAGAGAGAGAGAGAGAGAGAGAGAGAGAAAAGTGAGCACATGGGCTTTTATATATTAGGATATATATATATATATATATATATATATATATATATATATATATATATATATATATATATATATATATATATATATACTAGTTGTATGTCATGGTCTAAAATTCAACAAACAAAATATACACACAATATAATCAAAACAATGAACGCAACACAATCTGTTTGGTAATCCTTGTAAAAAAAAACTATTTGACATAATGATTCCTAGAATATTAATTAAGACAAACGAACTAGGGGAAATAATTACTTTCTTAATATAAATATGTATATTTCTACACATTTAACTGTAACTGTCAAAAAAAGATCAATAATTACTTTAATAAGTAATATAATAGTTTAACACTATTCATTTTTACAAAAATATGTCGTCTACAATAAGCATTAAATATATGGAAATCAGAGTTGGTATAAAATCAAGTTTTTCAATATAATGAAAGTTCAATTTTTACAGGTAGATCATTCTGAATAAAAACCTACATATTAATTAAATCTTAATCTTGTAGTTCATATCATACATAATTAAAAATGCTACTGATTTTGTGTTCTTCAACGATAATTTTTTAACAAAATAAGATATGGGTTAGATCACTGCATTTTATGACAGTAAATGTTTTTACGGCTACAGGACATTACCCCCCTGGAAATTTCCCCCCCCGGAGCAATTACCCCCTGTCAATTACCCCCCGGGGAATTACACCCCCCCCCCCTCTCAAGTTAGAATCCTAACTCTAACTAGAATTCTATACCTATATACTACTTTAATCCAAACTTTAAGAAAAAGACCAAAACCTAAGCATCCACCTTAGCCTAAAACTTCACACAAAACCAAAACCAACGCTAGACACAACCCTAACCCTAACTCTAGCCCTAAACCTAGCCCTAACCCTAACCCTAATCCTAGCCCTAACCATAGCCCTAAACCTAACCCTAGCCCTAACCCTGTCCGGGGGGGGGGTAATGTCCTACTGGGCGGGGGTAATTGACAGGGGGGTAATTGACAGGGGGGGTAATTGACAGGGGGGTAATTACTCTGGGGGGTAATGTCGGGGGGGGGGGAATGTCCGGGGGGTAATTGACAGGGGGGAAATGCCCTGTTCCCGTTTTTACAGAGGGTTGAATGGGGGGGGGGGGGGAGAGGGGGCGGTTGTAACCCCCTAAACCCACCCTCTGCCTACGCCACTGGTGAGTGACTATGTCTTTGTGTGGGGATGGGGGTTTACTGAACTGAACATATATAGGTTTACTGTTAACTAAAAGTCAATATTATCCCGACTCAAGTCAATCAACTAATGAGAATGCTACAAAGTTCACGTGGTATTTGGGCTAATGGCCTGTTGAGATTGATGAGCCAAAGAGAAATATCGCCAACATTCGTCTCCGTCTAGACGCAATCTACGACTAGACGCCATCTCCGACTAGACGCCCTCTTTCACTATGTTTGTGGGTCATCTCAATAGTTCATAGAATGGATACAATGCCATTCTGTAACTAAATATTAATGAGAAGTTAATTAGGGGTTGATGTGAGGTTGATGTGAGGTTGATGTGAGGTTGATGTGAGGTAGATGTGAGGTTGATGTGAGGTAGATGTAAGGTTGATGTGAGGTTGATGTGAGGCTGATGTGAGGTTGATGTGAGGTTGATGTGAGGTTGATGTGAGGTAGATGTGTGGTTGATGTGAGGTTGATGTGAGGTTGATGTGAGGTTGATGTGAGGCTGATGTAAGGTTGATGTGAGGTTGATGTGAGGCTGATGTGAGGTTGATGTGAGGTTGATGTGAGGCTGATGTAAGGTTGATGTGAGGTTGATGTGAGGTTGATGTGAGGTAGAATGATGGAACCTGAATGATGGAACAAGTAAAGATTTGCCTAGCTACAAAACTATAACAAATTTTGGACTAAAGCCGAGAGCTAGAATTGACGATACGGTGTAATTAAAACTGGCTGTATAAAACATATGAAAAAACACAACGTTCATAACAGAAAACATGAACATCAAGATATGAATCCAAAGGCAGAGAGAAGTTACAAGATACTGTATTTACCAAATACCATTAGAAATTTTTTAAAAATCAACGCATTCTATCAATTAATAAATACTTTAACAAATAGATTCAAACATAAATAGACTACATTAACCCACATACTACCAACTAATGACCCACAGACTACCAACTAATGACCCTCAAACTACGACCTAATGACCCACAGACTACAACCTAGTGACCCACAGACTACCACCTAATGACTCACAGACCTAAAGACCCACAGACTACCACCTAATGACTCACAGACTACCACCTAATGACCCACAAACTACCACCTAATGACCCACTGACTACCACCTAATTACCCACAGACTACCACCTAATGACCCACAGACTACCACCTAATGACCCACAGACTACCACCTAATGACCCACAGACTACCACCTAATGACCCACTGACTACCACCTAATTACCCACAGACTACCACCTAATGAGCCACAGACTACCACCTAATTACCCACAGACTACCACCTAATTACCCACAGACTACCACCTAATGACCCACAGACTACCACCTAATGACCCACAGACTACCACCTAATGACAAACAGACTACCACCTAATTACCCACAGACTACCACCTAATGACCGACAGACTACCACCTAATGACCCACAGACTACCACCTAATTACCCACAGACTACCACCTAATGACCCACAGACTACCACCTAATGACCCACAGACTACCACCTAATTACCCACAGACTACCACCTAATTACCCACAGACTACCACCTAATTACCCACAGACTACCACCTAATGACCCACAGACTACCACCTAATGACCCACAGACTACCACCTAATGACCCACAGACTACCACCTAATGACCCACAGACTACCACCTAATGACCCACAGACTACCACCTAATGACCCACAGACCTAATGACCCATAGACTACCACCTAATGACCCACAGACCTAATGACCCATAGACTACCACCTAATGACCCACAAACTACCACCTAATTACCCACAGACTACCACCTAATGACCCACAGACTACCACCTAATGACCCACAGACTACCACCTAATGACCCACAGACCTAATGACCCATAGACTACCACCTAATGACCCACAAACTACCACCTAATTGCCCACAGACTACCACCTAATGACCCACAGACTACCACCTAATGACCCACAGACTACCACCTAATGACCCACAGACTACCACCTAATGACCCACAGACTACCACCTAATGACCCACAGACTACCACCTAATGACCCACAGACTACCACCTAATGACCCACAGACTACCACTTAGTGACCCACAGACTACCACCTAATGACCCACAGACTACCACCTAATGACCCACAGACTACCACCTAATGACCCACAGACTACCACCTAATGACCCACAGACCTAATGACCCATAGACTACCACCTAATGACCCACAAACTACCACCTAATTACCCACAGACTACCACCTAATGACCCACAGACTACCACCTAATGACCCACAGACTACCACCTAATGACCCACAGACTACCACCTAATGACCCACAGACTACCACCTAATGACCCACAGACTACCACCTAATGACCCACAGACTACCACCTAATGACCCACAGACTACCACCTAATGACCCACAGACTACCACCTAATGACCCACAGACTACCACCTAATGACCCACAGACTACCACCTAATGACCCACAGACTACCACCTAATGACCCACAGACTACCACCTAATGACCCACAGACTACCACCTAATTACCCACAGACTACCACCTAATGACCCACAGACTACCACCTAATGACCCACAGACTACCACTTAGTGACCATTCTGATTGTCTGAGACTGTTGATGCCAACGAGGCATCACCTCAATGGAACAGGACTTTTATGGAATTGACTTGCTCCAACCGTTGGGTGCTGCCGGCCCCATCCTGATGGTCGCCCGATGCCCCATCTGTCTGCTGGATGGGGGGTGGACTCACGGGCAGCTTTTCGTTGCCAAAGTCCAAACATAGAGAATGTAAAGCACTCACGTCGAGAGTGTAGTCGGTGCAAGTTATGCACTCAAGTTTACCAGCAGCCTTTGATTTTCCCACGATCAGAGTAGGTAGAGATCTAAGAGAAACACGCGGGTATATGATGTTCATTTATATTTGAAGCTGAAGGTTCATATATCTACACAGATATAACATGCAGTACCAGATTTGCGTATAAGCTATGTAAGCTATAGATTAGGGCCCACACCCTCTCGCCCCCACCCCCCACCCTAATATTTTGTATGGTGATATGGACATTTTCTGTCCACATTTATATTTTAACATTTATATGTACATATTTTTTCAAACAATGCTTGGTGTTGAGTGATTGTGCCACTACTGCTGTAAACACATGCTATTGTCGGCCAACTGTGTTCCACTACTGCTGTAAACACATGCTATTGTCGGCCAACTGCTTTTTATAAAATGTAAAGACTAGCTTGACGTGAACAGTCGTCTAGATTTTAACAGTTGTCAACTAAAGTCTATTTATCTGTAAGACATGTAGATTTCAACAGTTGTCAACTAAAGTTCATTTATCTGTAAAGTTGGCTCGATATATTTGACGGAAATAGTTCATAACACAAGAGAAGTGAGACTATTAGTTATTTGAAACTGGTTAATCATTCATCATCTTTTCTTGTTCAAGAAACGTCTGGCAGAGGCTACAAGACTCGGGCTAGTCTCTACCATCCAACGCCGCGGCCACTAGTTAATAGGCCCACTAAAAAGTGTCAAGAATGAAGACCTACCTGCCTATAGAGTAGATGATTAAAAGTGTCAAGAATGAAGACCTACCTGCCTATAGAGTAGATGATTAAAAGTGTCAAGAATGAAGACCTACCTGCCTATAGAGTAGACGATTAAAAGTGTCAAGAATGAAGCCCTACCTGCCTATAGAATAGACGATTAAAAGTGTCAAGAATGAAGACCTACCTGCCTATAGAGTAGACGATTAAAAGTGTCAAGAATGAAGACCTACCTGCCTATAGAGTAGACGATTAAAAGTGTCAAGAATGAAGCCCTACCTGCCTATAGAGTAGACGATTAAAAGTGTCAAGAATGAAGCCCTACCTGCCTATAGAGTAGACGATTAAAAGTGTCAAGAATGAAGACCTACCTGCCTATGGAGTAGACGATTAAAAGTGTCAAGAATGAAGACCTACCTGCCTATAGAGTAGACGATTAAAAGTGTCAAGAATGAAGACCTACCTGCCTATAGAGTAGACGATTAAAAGTGTCAAGAATGAAGACCTACCTGCCTATAGAGTAGACGATTAAAAGTGTCAAGAATGAAGCCCTACCTGCCTATAGAGTAGACGATTAAAAGTGTCAAGAATGAAGACCTACCTGCCTATAGAGTAGACGATTAAAAGTGTCAAGAATGAAGCCCTACCTGCCTATAGAGTAGACGATTAAAAGTGTCAAGAATGAAGACCTACCTGCCTATAGAGTAGACGATTAACGCGCAGAAAACGAATGCCATGAAGAGAGTGAGGAAGAGCATCATGGAACAAAGGATGTTGGGCTGCACCTCTGGCTCCTGCAACCAGTCGCTGGGAAACGGGTTCGGCGGCTGTGGCCTGAAAGTTAAATTGTGTGATCTAACCTTACGATAACATTATGTGATCTTACGGCACGATAACATCATGTGATCTAACGGCACGATAACATTATGTGATTTAACGGCACGATAACATTATGTGATCTAACGGCACGATAGCATTATGTGATCTAACGGCACGATAACATCATGTGATTTAACCACACGATAAAATTGTGTGATCTAACAAAAAGATAGAACTATGTGGTCAAACCAGTGGCGTAGGCAAGGGGGGGATTAGGGGGGTTATAACCCCTCTCATGGACCCCGATATATATATATATATATATATATATATATATATATATATATATATATATATATATATATGTATATATATATATATATATATATATATATATATATATATATATATATATATATATATATATATATATATATATGATTGTATACATATGGAAAAATGTTTGAACCCCCCCCCCCATGACCAATTCCTGGCTACGACACTGGGTCTAACCTCGAGATAGATAGAATTACCCTACCGAAACACATTTTAGAAGAACGTAAGCTAGTAGTATGAGGGAGGTGTAAACACATTGTAAAACAACGCGTTCTAATCACATTGTGACTTTATAATCATGCAATAAATAAGATGTGATCTGAAGTTATCACAGATGGATTCTAACAATGAAATGTGATCTAAACACAATGTGGGCAGTGGCTGAACCATCAATTATTGAAACAAATAGATAAATGCTGAGTCTTACAGGGTTGAATGGGTCAATAATAGTCAGGTGTATTAACCATATCACAGGGTTGAATGGGTCAATAATTGTCAGGTGTATTAACCATATCACAGGGTTGAATGGGTCAATAATAGTCAGGTGTATTAACCATATCACAGGGTTGAATGGGTCAATAATTGTCAGGTGTATTAACCATATCACAGGGTTGAATGGGTCAATAATAGTCAGGTGTATTAACCAATTAACAGGGTTGAATGGGTCCATAATTTTCAGGTGTGTTTGCAACTTACGTTTCACAACACCTAGGTTGCTTTGTGACCTCACTGATACACGAACAGTCACTGCACAATTCTAGTTGAAACTGCTTGTAACAGAGATCTTTTACTGACAGATCTCTTACTGAAAAAAAAAGATTTCCGAACGGAATTTTTGTTACACTTGAAAAAGATAATTACTGAAGTTTCGGCTAAATTAAGTAGATCTATAAGGTAGTGAGGTATCGGCTAAATTAAGTAGACCTATAAGGTAGTGAGGTATCGTCTAAATTAAGTAGATCTATCATGTAGTGAGGTATCGGCTAAATTAAGTAGACCTATAAGGTAGTGAGGTATCGTCTAAATTAAGTAGATCTATCATGTAGTGAGGTATCGGCTAAATTAAGTAGATCTATAAGGTAGTGAGGTATCGGCTAAATTAAGTAGATCTATCAGGCAGTGATGTATTGGGAAAATATTGAGTCTAAACTCTAAAAGGTTCTGAGATGGCAAGTATCTAGTCAAAGAATCTATTGAGCCTTTTAAGTCAAGTTACACGTAGCACCAAAAATAAGTACGTGTAATCAGTGTTTCTTCCAGACTTTTTTCTCCGGGGGTGCACTTGAAATTTTCGGGGGGGGGGGGGGGGCGGTAGACTTTCTTCGGGGGGCGGACACTGTTAAAAGTATATATTTTCTATATAAATTATATAAATTTCATTTCGTTCGGGTGGGGGGGGGGGGTAGAAATTTTTCGGGGGGGGGGGGGGGGGCTTCGTCCCCCCCGAAGAGATGCCTGGAAGAAACTCTGCGTGTAATGCAAACATGGTTGCAAAAAAGGACACTACCACACCTTCCTAGTCTGATCTTTTCAAAAAATATATGGATCTACCGACAAAAATAAATAAATAATAAATACAAATATATTTAGAAGGAAAAATCGGCCAGAGAACAAGAATGAGTTTATCGAAATGCCTCCCATCCAGTGGCGTCGCCAGGAGGGGTTCGATTCAATTATGGAGAATATAGATCTAGAAAAGAAGTTCAGAAATATAATATTTTAAGAATCAATATAGATCTAGATCTATATTCTAAATTCTAGATCTATTGTTATAGAAGTTGCAGACGTAGAGAACGTGAAAAAAGCCAGTAATGCCTAGATCTAGACGTCTATAGGAGTATATAGATCTATGTATGATGTTACTCATTGATATAAACTACTTAGACAGACGGACAGGTTAAAGGACAACTGATTTACTACATCAGTCAATAAGTCTACATCTAGATCAGTACAGTTTTTTTAAAGATTTATTTAGCTATGTACTTAGTATTTGCGGCGCCATGATTTTTTTTTCTCAAACTGATGCGTGTAGGGATTAGAAAAGTTATATTTGACATTTCCGGTCACATCTTTGTACTGGATTTCCCGATGAAGAAGTCTGCGTGCGGGAACTAAATATCGTCAAGATGTAATCACTGATGTAAGCCCTACAAGATGTAATCACTGATGTAAGCCCTGACTTTATATTGAGCTTAGATCGACATTTATTTTTTATACTGTTGTATATAGTGATAGATACAATCGTAAAGTTTTAAAAAAAAAACGTTGAAACTGGACGACTGAGTCATACATATGCTCTGCACCAAAACGCACTCTTGTTGAACGCGTTACGTTCGATGTGGAAATGCAGAAGACTGGTTTCTGTCAATTAAGGTTATATTTTGTCTAGGTATGTTAGAATATTGGCCTCAAGCTGTAACTGCATTTTGTTCAGATTTGTGTACATTATTTTTTTTTTTTATTAGAAAATTTAGATCTAGTGGCTTATACGATTCTAAAACATGTTCATATTGAGTAATAGATCTAGATCTATTTTAGAACAATATGAAGAACTCAATTATTATTCTAGCTTAGACTGCCTGGCTATAAGCTAGATTCTAGGCACTCATACTAGACTCTAGGCACACTAGCGCAGTGTAGTTACCTAGTGGTTTTCAACATGATTCAATGATTATTAATAAGTTATAATGCTTTATGTTGTTTTCGAATTGCGTGGTTCGCGTTTATTTTGATATGTAAAAAAAAGATGTCTTTCTCAGTAAAAGTAATAATAATTATTAAAAAGTAATTAAACAGGGGGTTACCCAGGTTATTTCCAGAACGGCTTAAAAGTAAATAAATAAATAACAAGTAATGTCTGGCCTACATTTCTCTACATCGTTCCGGAAATCATTGGACAGTGGCGTAGGCGGGGGTGTGGAGGGGGCTATAACCCCCCTAACATCACCCGCCCACCCCCGCATGGACCCTTCTGTAAAAAATATTGTCATAATACCACTGTAACTTATTTAAATATATTTCCGAATCAGTACATATATATAATTGTATTTATATGTTTAGAACAGTAATCTAAAAACTGACGCTAGGTTCACACTGAGTTGGTTACCTCCCCCCCCACCTCACCAGCAGAGTTTCTTCCTGTCGTCTCTTCCCCCCCCGCACCCCCACCCCCATCCCCCGAAGACATCAAGTGACCCCACACCCCCCCCCAACCGGAAGTAGTACTTTACGCTGTTCCCGATTTCTAAAAAAACAAGTTAATAAAAAGTCTAGTGACAATTTAAGCGCAATTTCCTTATGTTATCCATAACAATTTTTAATTTTTTGTGACCGAACGAAAGGATATTTTTTGCGCTAAAAACCTACACGATGCTCAGTTTAAATATCATCCTAGGCCTACACGATGCTCAGTTTAAAAATTCTTAAATAATTTTTTGTGACCGAACGAAAGGATATTTTTGAAAACTTTCTTCGGCAATACTGTTCTAAATTATGGCAGGAATCGATTGGTAAATGTTTCAAGTCGCTAAGTGGTCTGGTTGCCGAAATATGGGAAAAAAACAGCATTTTTTCGAGGTTTTTTGGCTTTTCCGGGAAATCCAGGAAGGAATTCCGGGAATTTTTTTGGCCTATGTTCATCCTCGGAACTTGCTTAACATATTTCCTTTTGGAACCAGTCCTCGATATTGCTTCGTTGAGGAGGAGATACGACTTAAAGCTGCGGACACACATCCATTCATCCATCCAGAAATGACGAGTTAACAATCGCAATTGTCCGTATGGAAATTGCGCTAAAAATACGCATATGAATTTATAAAGTACTAATGTTCCGCTCTATTATAACGCATTGTTTGCTGTTCACTTGGTGCGCAATTCTTTTTTTACGAGATTCTATTCTATTTGAAAAAGTTTAAGTATGTTAAATTGGATTAAAAAGCATTGTATAACCCCTTAGTGTTATGTAAGAATTTTCGAGGAAGTTTAGGGGAGATTACTCCCGCTTTATTATCTATGTAGATTGTTTACTCTAAAGGTTAATGTCGCTTCTTTGTCTTGGTTTGCTTCAATGTGTAAAATGCTTGCTATAATATAAAGCAGACTTTTTAAATATAAACCATGCTTGTTTTAATATACATCAAACGTGTTGTAATATACACAATACTTGTTGAAATATAGGCATAGCTTTATGTTATATACACCATGCATGCTGTAATATGCATGATGCTTGGTGTACTATACCCGCTATACCAAGACCAATTAAATCAAAGCATTCATAGAAATCTTCATTTGCGAAAACAATTGTTTTTAAAAATTTTCTTATATTGACATTCATAAAAGTATATTTTATAACAGACCTCTGTAATTACAGCTGTAATGACTGGGACTCATGATGAATTTTCCTGGTGCACGATTATGCTGATTATAATTCTGGTGGTCCTACTCATAATCTTACTCGTGTCAGGGGCATGCGCGTTCACTTTCTATTTAAGGTAACAGCTTACACGAACGCTTACACTCACTTTCTATTTAAGGTAACAACTTACACGAACGCTTACACTCACTTTCTATTTAAGGTAACAACTTACACGACTGCTTATACTCACTTTCTATTTAAGGTAACAACTTACACGAACGCTTACACTCACTTTCTATTTAAGGTAACAACTTACACGAACGCTTACACTCACTTTCTATTTAAGGTAACAACTTACAAGACTGCTTATACTCACTTTCTATTTAAGGTAACAACTTACACGAACGTATACACTCACTTTCTATTTAAGGTAACAAATTACACGAACGCTTACACTCACTTTCTATTTAAGGTAACAACTTACAAGACTGCTTATACTCACTTTCTATTTAAGGTAACAACTTACACGAACGTATACACTCACTTTCTATTTAAGGTAACAAATTACACGAACGCTTACACTCACTTTCTATTTAAGGTAACAGCTTACACGAACGCTTACACTCACTTTCTATTTAAGGTAACAACTTACAAGACTGCTTATACTCACTTTCTATTTAAGGTAACAACTTACACGAACGCTTACACTCACTTTCTATTTAAGGTAACAAATTACACGAACGCTTACACTCACTTTCTATTTAAGGTAACAACTTACAAGACTGCTTATACTCACTTTCTATTTAAGGTAACAACTTACACGAACGCTTACACTCACTTTCTATTTAAGGTAACAAATTACACGAACGCTTACACTCACTTTCTATTTAAGGTAACAACTTACAAGACTGCTTATACTCACTTTCTATTTAAGGTAACAACTTACACGAACGCTTACACTCACTTTCTATTTAAGGTAACAAATTACACGAACGCTTACACTCACTTTCTATTTAAGGTAACAGCTTACACGAACGCTTACACTCACTTTCTATTTAAGGTAACAACTTACAAGACTGCTTATACTCACTTTCTATTTAAGGTAACAACTTACACGAACGCTTACACTCACTTTCTATTTAAGGTAACAAATTACACGAACGCTTACACTCACTTTCTATTTAAGGTAACAACTTACACGACTGCTTATACTCACTTTCTATTTAAGGTAACAACTTACACGAACGCTTACACTCACTTTCTATTTAAGGTAACAACTTACATGAATGCTTACACTCACTTTCTATTTAAGGTAACAACTTACACGAACGCTTACACTCACTTTCTATTTAAGGTAACAACTTACAAGACTGCTTATGAAAAACACACATGAACGTCTTGGCTTGTTAGAATGAACACATCTGCACATACATAATGTTTGTTTTAGTCTTCTCTCTACGACAACAATGTTTGTTTTAGTCTTCTCTCTACTACACCAATGTTTGTTTTAGTCTTCTCTCTACGACACCAATGTTTGTTTTAGTCTTCTCTCTACGACACCAATGTTTGTTTTAGTCTTCTCTCTACGACACCAATGTTTGTTTTAGTCTTCTCTCTACGACACCAATGTTTGTTTTAGTCTCCACTACACCAATGTTTGTTTTAGTCTTCTCTCTACTACACCAATGTTTGTTTTAGTCTTCTCTCTACTACACCAATGTTTGTTTTAGTCTCCACTACACCAATGTTTGTTTTAGTCTTCTCTCTACTACACCAATGTTTGTTTTAGTCTTCTCTCCACTACACCAATGTTTGTTTTAGTCTCCACTACACCAATGTTTGTTTTAGTCTTCTCTCTACGACACCAATGTTTGTTTTAGTCTTCTCTCCACTACACCAATGTTTGTTTTAGTCTTCTCTCCACTACACCAATGTTTGTTTTAGTCTTCTCTCTACTACACCAATGTTTGTTTTAGTCTTCTCTCTACTACACCAATGTTTGTTTTAGTCTTCTCTCTACTACACCAATGTTTGTTTTAGTCTTCACTCCACTACACCAATGTTTGTTTTAGTCTTCTCTCTACGACACCAATGTTTGTTTTAGTCTCCACTACACCAATGTTTGTTTTAGTCTTCTCTCTACTACACCAATGTTTGTTTTAGTCTTCTCTCTACTACACCAATGTTTGTTTTAGTCTTCTCTCTACTACACCAATGTTTGTTTTAGTCTTCTCTCTACGACACCAATGTTTGTTTTAGTCTTCTCTCTACTACACCAATGTTTGTTTTAGTCTTCTCTCTACTACACCAATGTTTGTTTTAGTCTTCTCTCCACTACACCAATGTTTGTTTTAGTCTTCTCTCCACTACACCAATGTTTGTTTTAGTCTCCACTACACCAATGTTTGTTTTAGTCTCCACTACACCAATGTTTGTTTTAGTCTTCTCTCTACTACACCAATGTTTGTTTTAGTCTTCTCTCTACTAGACCAATGTTTGTTTTAGTCTTCTCTCCACTACACCAATGTTTGTTTTAGTCTTCTCTCCACTACACCAATGTTTGTTTTAGTCTTCTCTCCACTACACCAATGTTTGTTTTAGTCTTCTCTCTACGACACCAATGTTTGTTTTAGTCTTCTCTCCACTACACCAATGTTTGTTTTAGTCTTCTCTCCACTACACCAATGTTTGTTTTAGTCTTCTCTCTACGACACCAATGTTTGTTTTAGTCTTCTCTCCACTAGACCAATGTTTGTTTTAGTCTTCTCTCTACTACACCAATGTTTGTTTTAGTCTTCTCTCTACGACACCAATGTTTGTTTTAGTCTTCTCTCCACTACACCAATGTTTGTTTTAGTCTTCTCTCTACTACACCAATGTTTGTTTTAGTCTTCTCTCTACTACACCAATGTTTGTTTTAGTCTTCTCTCTACTACACCAATGTTTGTTTTAGTCTTCTCTCCACTACACCAATGTTTGTTTTAGTCTCCACTACACCAATGTTTGTTTTAGTCTTCTCTCCACTACACCAATGTTTGTTTTAGTCTTCTCTCTACTACACCAATGTTTGTTTTAGTCTTCTCTCTACGACACCAATGTTTGTTTTAGTCTTCTCTCTACTACACCAATGTTTGTTTTAGTCTTCTCTCCACTACACCAATGTTTGTTTTAGTCTTCTCTCCACTACACCAATGTTTGTTTTAGTCTCCACTACACCAATGTTTGTTTTAGTCTCCACTACACCAATGTTTGTTTTAGTCTTCTCTCTACGACACCAATGTTTGTTTTAGTCTTCTCTCTACTACACCAATGTTTGTTTTAGTCTTCTCTCCACTACACCAATGTTTGTTTTAGTCTCCACTACACCAATGTTTGTTTTAGTCTCCACTACACCAATGTTTGTTTTAGTCTTCTCTCCACTACACCAATGTTTGTTTTAGTCTTCTCTCTACTACACCAATGTTTGTTTTAATCTTCTCTCTACTACACCAAAGTTTGTTTTAGTCTTCTCTCTACTACACCAATGTTTGTTTTAGTCTTCTCTCTACGACACCAATGTTTGTTTTTGTCTTCTCTCTACGACACCAATGTTTGTTTTAGTCTTCTCTCTACTACACCAATGTTTGTTTTAGTCTTCTCTCTACTACACCAATGTTTGTTTTAATCTTCTCTCTACTACACCAAAGTTTGTTTTAGTCTTCTCTCTACTACACCAATGTTTGTTTTAGTCTTCTCTCTACGACACCAATGTTTGTTTTTGTCTTCTCTCTACGACACCAATGTTTGTTTTAGTCTTCTCTCTACTACACCAATGTTTGTTTTAGTCTTCTCTCTACTACACCAATGTTTGTTTTAGTCTTCTCTCTACTACACCAATGTTTGTTTTAGTCTTCTCTCCACTACACCAATGTTTGTTTTAGTCTTCTCTCTACGACACCAATGTTTGTTTTAGTCTTCTCTCTACGACACCAATGTTTGTTTTAGTCTCCACTACACCAATGTTTGTTTTAGTCTTCTCTCTACTACACCAATGTTTGTTTTAGTCTTCTCTCTACGACACCAATGTTTGTTTTAGTCTTCTCTCTACTACACCAATGTTTGTTTTAGTCTTCTCTCTACTACACCAATGTTTGTTTTAGTCTTCTCTCTACGACACCAATGTTTGTTTTAGTCTTCTCTCCACTACACCAATGTTTGTTTTAGTCTCCACTACACCAATGTTTGTTTTAGTCTTCTCTCTACTACACCAATGTTTGTTTTAGTCTCCACTACACCAATGTTTGTTTTAGTCTTCTCTCTACTACACCAATGTTTGTTTTAGTCTCCACTACACCAATGTTTGTTTTAGTCTTCTCTCTACTACACCAATGTTTGTTTTAGTCTTCTCTCCACTACACCAATGTTTGTTTTAGTCTCCACTACACCAATGTTTGTTTTAGTCTTCTCTCCACTACACCAATGTTTGTTTTAGTCTCCACTACACCAATGTTTGTTTTAGTCTCCACTACACCAATGTTTGTTTTAGTCTTCTCTCTACGACACCAATGTTTGTTTTAGTCTTCTCTCCACTACACCAATGTTTGTTTTAGTCTTCTCTCTACTACACCAATGTTTGTTTTAGTCTTCTCTCTACGACACCAATGTTTGTTTTAGTCTTCTCTCCACTACACCAATGTTTGTTTTAGTCTTCTCTCTACGACACCAATGTTTGTTTTAGTCTTCTCTCCACTACACCAATGTTTGTTTTAGTCTTCTCTCTACTACACCAATGTTTGTTTTAGTCTTCTCTCTACGACACCAATGTTTGTTTTAGTCTTCTCTCTACTACACCAATGTTTGTTTTAGTCTTCTCTCTACTACACCAATGTTTGTTTTAGTCTTCTCTCCACTACACCAATGTTTGTTTTAGTCTTCTCTCCACTACACCAATGTTTGTTTTAGTCTCCACTACACCAATGTTTGTTTTAGTCTTCTCTCTACGACACCAATGTTTGTTTTAGTCTCCACTACACCAATGTTTGTTTTAGTCTTCTCTCCACTACACCAATGTTTGTTTTAGTCTTCTCTCCACTACACCAATGTTTGTTTTAGTCTTCTCTCTACTACACCAATGTTTGTTTTAGTCTTCTCTCTACT